GAAGTTAGGAGGCGTTGCATTTGATGACTCAGCCTCCTTAATGTTGGCTTCATGAAAAAGGGAGTAGTCACTTCATTTCCATTCAATAAGTAGTTATTAAATAGTCTGGGTGTTGCAGGGACTTTGCTTTCACCTGACAAAAGAGGTCAAGAAAAGATGGGTTCATGAGAAACAGTATAAATATCGGGGGCTTTTCAATGTCTAGGTTATTTTACCGTCGATGTTAATTTTCATCTTTGTCTTGCCTATGCTTAGCAGCTCTTGTTTCTTCTCTTTTTTACTGTTAAGTCCTCTCAAGAGTATCCCAAAGTTCCAATTTCTTTTTTTTTTTTTTCCTTGCGTTATGCGGGCCTCTCACTGTTGTGGCCTCTCCCATTTGCGAAGCACAGGCTCCGGACGCGCAGGCTCAGTGGCCATGGCTCACGGGCCCAGCCGCTCCGCGGCATGTGGGATCTTCCCGAAACGGGGCACGAACCCGCGTCTCCTGCATCGGCAGGCGGACTCTCAAGCACTGCGCCACCAGGGAAGCCCCCAAAGTTCCAATTTCTTGAACTAACTGAAGGGATTGTTTTACCTGCTAAAATCCTTCAGGTTGAAGACTTCCCTCTCTTTTTCATCTGCGTTTTTGTTCTCTGGCTGTTTTTTAGCACCCATGCTAACAGATAACCCGCAGCTGCCAGGCCATCCTTGCTTGGCTTCTGTTGCATACGAAGGTGGGCGTACAGGCCTACCATCTGTTCTAGGTCTGTAAATTCCATCTATGTGCAAGAACACAGTGATCAATCACACAGTTTAACATGTCATGAGGTGGGTGTCATTGCCACCCACTTCCATAGGCACTTTTTTTTTTTTTTTTTTTTTGGCCACGCCATATGGCTCGCAGGATCTCAATTTCCCAACCAGGGACTGAACCCAGGCAATGGCAGTGAAAGCTCCGCATCCTAACTACTAGACCACCAGGGAACTCCCAAAAGGTCCTCTTAAGAAAATGAAAAGATAATCTCTAGATTGGGAGAAGATATGTGCAAATTACATATGTAATAAAGACTTGAACCAGAATAAATAGCTCTCAAAGGTCAGTAAGAAAACTCAAAAAAAAAGTCAAAATATTTGAGCAGTCACTTCACCAAAGATATACTGATGGCAAATAACCACATGAAAAGATGCTCAGCATGTTTAGTCACAATGAGATACTAATACCTACCTATTAGAATGGCAAATTTTTTTTTAAACTTACGATATGCCAGTTTATTTATATTTGTGTACTTTATCTTGCCATGACCGTCTGACAATTTCTATCACTGTAATACTTTTCTGAATAGAGGCAACTTTTGGCATTCCCATTTTGATTGTGATAGTAATGTGACACCTGTGAAATAGTGATCAAAATAGGAAATCCTTTGTAAGTGCTGCCCCTTATAGCACTGATAGACAAATAAGCCTTACAGCCTTGTTTGTCTCGGAAATATTTAAATACAAAAGTATAGCACTCCGCCATTGTTTCAAACAAGGCAGTGATGCAAAAGGAAAATTCTTTCAAGAGCACAAGAAAGGGTAGTGTTGAGTGCTTGCATTCAGCCAACAAGCAGGGTGAGTCATGCACGCCTTGTGCACCTCAGTCTCCTTCCTCAGATGTACTCACTGGTCTCTGCCTCAGCCTTACTTGGGAGAAAAGAAGGATATCACAACAGGGGATAAAACTCAAGTGCTATGACTGCTTCAGATGTCTGTGGAACTGGTTGTGGCAGCAGAAGATAACGTGCAGCCATCATTTGGTGATTGGTAGCCATGCACTGGCGTCACTAGGCTCTTAAGCATGACAGGAAGCTTTGTGGGAAATTCTCTCCTGTGCTGGGCACCGTAAGCCAATGGCCCTGTCCCGCTCTCATCAAGGAGCTCACGTTCCCTGGAACTTGGACCCTGCACTGTCGGGTTATTCCCATCCATGGGGATTTTCTTGGTGTCTCACTTAATTATCCCCCATGGTCAACTTAAAATTCTCTATCAAGAAATTCTCCTCTTTTCAGGAGTTTGATAACTCGTATTTTTCCTCCCACGTCTGTGTCCTCTTCATTCAGTAGTTATCCTTACCTATCATTCTCAGGCACTTCTCTTTCTTTGTCTCTTTCGTCTCACAGTAGAAAAAAAATTCTTTTTTTCCAAGGGCTTCACTTCTAACAAGGCTTCCTATATTTTCTTATGATCAGTACCTAGGTTTGCCTGCAGTAAGTTTCCTTCTTGTTTTATGAGTGTATTTTTCTTAGGAAATCCTCATTTTCTGGGCTGTACTATACATTTGTAACCTAGGGCTTGGATTGCAATTTAATTCTCCTTAAATCCTTCACTGAGTTTTGAGGAGAGACCTTGTTATTTGCTCTCCTTAGGAGAGAGCACAGTTAAAGGTCACAGTCTGTCTCCTCTCCCTAGAGGCTAAGGGTACTTGGACTGGGTGGCAAGGAGGGCAGGAGACTCCCCAGGCATGACGCTCCCTCCCAGTCTGGCACTGCTCCCCTGATGGCAGTATTGCATGGGGATTTTCACAGTGGCTCTGAAAGCACCTCCTGGCATTGACATCTGCCTGACAGCTGTCGGCAACTTGCCTTATGTGAAACCCTTCATCCGCCCGCTCACTGGGAGCAACCTCCAAGGTCATTGGCGCATCTCCAACATATCTTCCTTCAACAACGTGTTGCAGCAGAAGAGTACTGACCTTGGGGTCAGACCAGCCTAGTTTCAAATCCCCATCCACCACTTCCTAGCCATGGTACTTTGAACTTGCTGCCTAAACCTCTGAGTCTTAGTTTTCTCATCTGTAAAATGGAGACAATAACATTTACCTTGTAGATTTGTTATAAATAGTAAATGAAATATATGAAATGACTCAATAGTGGCTGGTAGTAAGTAGGTGCTAAATAAAAGACACATGTTACTATTATTGTTCCTAGAATGCATTGTTAGCTTGGCAACTTGGTGTTGGCTTCAGCACTTCCTTTGTACATACAAAAGGCACTTGTTCTTAAAGAGCCTTTTTTTAAGAAGTTTATTTGAAGCTCCTCTAAGACAGGCACCACCCAACCTCACATACTCTGCCCCCGCCCTCTCTTAGCACCCTCTTGCTGTGCCATTATGAAGGCCTCTAGTTTATGTAGCTGCCTCGGCAACAGCCAACCCTCATTTGCCCTAAGGGCTCCTATCCAGGACCTACCTTGTAGAGCTCGGTACAACCTACAGGTTCTGCCTGAACTTAGAAGGCACATAGCAAAAATCTCACATGTGCCTGAATATTTTACTATGGACATATTAGCAGTTTCCTGTCCCCCTTGGAGTACTGAGGTGCCCAAATAAGTACTCGCAAAAAAGCTCAAACTAAATGTGGAAACTACAATCTAATAGAAATCCTGGGCTGTCCTTCTGTGTACTTGTTATATATTACGCAATCATGCTTGAACAATAACTGTCATTTTCAAGCAAAATAGAAAATAGTTTCTGTCTTCAGGGCACACGATCCTCTAGAGATGAGGCAAGTGCAAACACAACCATGTGCAGCGTCATTTTCTGTGAATGTGATGTTAAAAATGTACGTGTGGGTTAGGTGTGGCAGGACTCTATGCAACACAAAAGAAAAGCTGGATTTAAAAACTTGAACCTCTGGCTGCCCATTCAGATCTCTGCTCACTGCCTACTGCTTCTCTCTTTGGCTGCTTAGATTTTCATATATATATAAACATATATATATATATATATATATATATAAACATATATATATATAAACACATGTATATAAAGAAAACTAGAAAATCAAAATGGAGAGACTTAGGAGAAAATAGCTGAAAACGCTTCACCTTTATGACTGTCTAAAGCAAGGATTTTAAAATGAATTGTTTGCATTTGAGTAGTTAGGGCTAAAAGCACAAATGTGGATGAGCTCTAAGACAGCTAAACTCTTGGAAATTTAGGAACACACCAGGCCTTCTTCGGCAAATGAACAGAAGGTTCAAAGAACCCTGTAACTCATGGCAACAACTATAGCCCAGCTAAGCTAAGTACAGGGCTTGTCCACTTCCTCTGGATATAAGGCTCTTTGGGTTGTTAGGATGTGCTTTTAGCTCATTCTGGGTTCCTGGACAATGTTCTGAAGGGAACTTACAGAAGGGACAGTGGAAGGAGCATAGTCACGTAAATCACGCTTTCAGGACCAACCTTACCATTCATTCTATTTTCACCAGTTTTCTTCTTCTAATTTGAGCAGTGTCACAGGAGTGCATCGCTACAGTGACTTTTTCTCTCCTAAGTTCTAATGGTAAAATTCTTGTTAGAATTTGATTTTAATCACTAAAATAAAAATATCCTTTATTGAGCCCTCCTCTGTGCCTAGCACTATGCTCTGTACCATATAGATAGATGATAGATGATAGAAAGATAGATAGATAGGTGATACATGGTCTATTACTGCCAGTAGGGATGGGTAAAGATAACATTTTGAGGTGGTAGAGAGGGAGACTGAAGGCGTTTATGCCTGTGTGGTTTTTTTTTCTATGTGAAAAAGAGAGAGACAGAGACAGAGAGATGGAGAGAGAGACAGAGACAGAGAGATGGAGAGAGAGACAGAGAGAGACAGAGAGTGCCAGGGCAGAGTAAAACCTGGAAGAGAGCAAGCAAGTTTTGAAACAGCTGCTATACAGAATGTTAAGGGAAACAACAGTGAGTTAAAAAAGCAAACAAGAGATTAGTAAAGTCCTAGGATTCTCAGAGGAGTAAATGGTTATCGCATCTTTGCTGTTGCCATTGTCTTTGCCACTGCCGTCACTATCAGCATCGTCATCATCATCACTGTCATCGTCTCCAGAACAAATTATGCTTCAGCCACATAACCGTTACATAGTTGAGAAAACTATTCCTTTGAAAAACTAATAATCATTTATGCTCGCTTCATGCTTATCGTAGGGTGTTGTAGGGTGTTTTTATTCATTGCATTCTCCCTCTCACCTGTGCTTGCTTAGGTTAAGCCCGTGATACAGAGAGGCCACGAGAGTCTGGTCCATCACATCCTGCTCTATCAGTGCAGCAGCAACTTCAGCGACAGCGTCCTGGACCACGGCCACGAGTGCTACCACCCTAACATGCCCGATGCCTTCCTCACGTGCGAGACTGTCATTTTTGCGTGGGCCATTGGTGGAGAGGTGGGCCAGTGATTACTGAGATGTAATGAAGTTAATTGATCATTTTTCCCCCTACGAGTCTAACACTTACATGTAAAACTCTATATACTATTTTTTTTTAATGTATTTATTTATTTTTGGCTGCATTGGGTCTTCATTGCTGTACGTGGGCTTTCTCTGGTTGCTGTGAGCAGGGGGCTACTCTTCATTGCGGTGCACAGGCTTTCTCATTGCGGTGGCTTCTCTTGTCGTGGAGCATGGGCTCTAGGTGCCCGGGCTTCATTAGTTGTGGCACGTGGGCTCAGTAGTTATGGCTCACGAGCTCTAGAGCGCAGGCTCAGTAGTTGTGGTGCACGGGCTTAGTTGCTCCGTGGCATGTGGGATCTTCCCGGACCAGGGCTCGAACCCGTGTCCCCTGCATTAGCAGAAGGACTCTTAACCACTGTGCCACCAGGGAGGCCCTATATAGTATTTTTGATATGAGGGTGGTTTATTTTTCTTTCCATAGGAAGTAATTCTTTCCTTAAGCCATTTTATTTGATCAACTATAGATTAATGGAGTTGAGAAACGTTGAAATATCGTTGAGAATGGCTGACTTTTGGGTGGAACAGAGCTCTGAGGGACTTTCACAGGACAGTATGTCATGGAATTGTGCTTGTTTAGGGTTTTTCCTATCCACCTCATGTTGGATTATCCCTCGGTACTCCGTTAGACCCTCATTATGTGCTCCTGGAAGTCCATTACGACAATCCAACATATAAGGAAGGTGAGTGTATTCTTTATACATTCTACCTATGATTGTAAAAGTTTTGTAACTTTTTATTTTAACAGAGTTAAACAGACTTAAAATAAAATAGCATCCGGTGGTAGAAAGAATTAACCTATACATTTGTCATCCAGTTAGGATACTTTTTTTAGAATGAAAAAGGGCACTATTAGTAGTTACACTGGGACAACAGTCATTAACCAGCCATGAATCGGGCAAATGGGTGCATGTGATCACTAATTTTAAAAAGCAATTTGCATATTACTTACCAGGAAGTAGAATAATAGACTTTTCCCTTTATGATGTAAATTAGTCCCAAATACATGGTGCTTACAAAATATTTTCTTTCTAAAAGCATATATAAAAAACTATCATTCATCACACTAGAAAATATTAAGCATTTTGTTGTGTGATAGGCAAACCATAAATATACTCAAAAATATTTATGCAGTGACACTGTGTAATATGATGTTGAAATGAAGAGAGATAAGTATTTACACCTGAATTTACTATGTAATATTCCAAAGCTAAAAAACTGAAGGATTTAATATGAAATTATCAACAGAAGAAACTTAAAGTTATTATTTTACACTGATTAGTGCAATTTTTCAGCAAATACTGAGCACCAGTGATGTGCTGGATCTGTGTTTAACAACATAATGTCCCCACCCTCATGGACATTAGAATGTAGGGGAAAAGAGAAACAATAAAATAATCACAACAATTAATACAAAATTATATATATGTTAATTGATCCAAAGGTCAGTTCGGTAGTCACAGGTAGGTAAGTCACCATTGCAGAGAAGAAGCAATTAATTTTATAGTGGAACAGATTTATGAAGTGTTGGGGCTCATACTGTCCATCCTTATGATAACTTATGTCACAGAAAGAGATGTGTCTTATTCATCTTTCCTCCCCACTGTGCCTGTTGTTGTGCTGTTCACATGATAGATTCTTAATAACTGTTGATCGAACGACTGATGAATTATTACAAGACTGGTAATAAACTGTAAAGAAAGTTAACCATTAATACTTTTCTCCATCACCAGGTGGTTTCTAGACCAAGGGGTTTTCAACTCTATGTAAATGTTACTGAACTTCACCTCAAAACAATATAAAATGAAACTCCTGTTGAGTTATTCTATATTCTAATGAATGACTTTAGAATTTTCGTTCTGTCTTCAAGTTAGGTAATTGTGGAATATATCAGCTAGTCAACACAAATGTGTCTCTTATGGTATGCTGTGTAAGTCAAGAATGGTTGCAGACCATATGGCGACTCGTCTTTTAATACCTCTTTGTGAAGCTGAATGTTGCCATCCATTAATCTTTGCTTGTACTCCTTTCCCTTGTGAGATTTTTAAGAAAAGCCAATGAACCCATTTCAACTGAATCTGGAAAACTTTTTCTTTTTTAAGAACTTAAACTCACTTTTAATTATTCTTGTTTAAATGCTCGTTCCAGGCTTATTAGATAATTCTGGATTGAGGTTATTTCACACGACAGATATAAGGAAATACGACGCTGGGGTGATTGAGGCTGGCCTCTGGGTAAGCCTCTTCCACACAATCCCTCCAGGCCTGCCTGATTTCCGGTCTGAGGGTCACTGCACCCTGGAATGCCTGGAAGAGGTATGCTATGTCTGAGTCTATGAGCTGCTGTTTCCAGATTAATCTATGCTCTTAGAAACTATGTTTGGAAAATTCCAAGTTAGTTTATTATTAATCTTTTTCTTGTTGTCATGCTGTAAAACAATTGTTTACAATTTTAGCAAGACCTTTATTGCTTTTTTAAATCTTGAAGACTACAGGTGTAGAATTCTAACGACAGGAATAATTTTCAGGGTGTTTTCCTTCCTTTCCCCTCCTTTGATTGTTTCATAGTGGATACTTTCTCTTTTACAATTTTGACCTTTGTTTGTGTAGAGTCCCCTTTTCCTTTCTCAACTTTATCTTTTATCCATATTTTTTTTCCATGATTCATTTTCATTTTTTTCTCATTTTCTCTGATTTATAGTTGCCTTCCCTTCTTTAACCAAAGAGCAAGAATAACTAATATAAAAATACATATTGGTTAAGAGAAAACCATATATAAGTATTTCATAATGGCTGCTTCCATTTATAGTTCTTTTTTCTTGAATTAAAGTATTTCGGCATGGTTAGTATTCCTTATGAATCATAGGATATTATGGTTGTAAACAGTATGGCAAACTGGTGGAGTGGAAAGATTGTGCTCTTCTGAGTTATTTAAGCCATTTAGACCATGAATTAAATTGCCATGACATCAACCACTAGCTGTAGGACCATGAGCATTTCATTTCATTTCACTCTCCCAGTTCAGTTTTCTTATCTGGAAAAGTGGGAATAGAGTCTCCTTTTAAGAGTTTCAATGTGCAAGCTACCAACATACTGGAATCTTTCTGCCAGGAGCTTTGACTGCTTTCTTACCTACTAAAAGAAGAAAAAAGAAAGATAATATTTAGAAGTGGTTCAGTTGGTCCTCAGCAAGCATTAGTTCCTTTTCTTTTCTGCCAGCCAGTATTGCTGCACAAAGATAACACTGCTAGGTATAAGTCAGGAAAAATCCAAATTCAAAATGTCTGGCAGCTCATGCATTCACTTAAGTTGTGTAAGCGTTTCTTCTCAGTTGTCTCTACAAGTCTGTTTTAAGGTGAACTGTCTGAGCTTATTTGGGCTAATCAGGCCTCCCCTGTGTCCCCTGTAGGCTTTGGAAGTTGAAAAGCCAAGTGGCATCCACGTGTTTGCTGTTCTGCTCCACGCTCACCTGGCAGGCAGAGGCATCAGGCTGCGTCATTTTCGCAAAGGGGAGGAAATGAGATTACTCGCTTATGATGATGATTTTGACTTCAATTTCCAGGAGTTTCAGTACCTAAAGGAAGAACGAACAATCTTACCAGTATGATTGTTTTGTTCTTTTTCACTGAATGTCATCAAAGTCCTGAGACGTAGGTCTGCTGAGAATTAGCCAGGTTTCTATTGGTGAAATAACTCGCTCATCCACATCCTCAAAGCCACCCACATGGCTGTCGCACAAGCCACATGGAATGTGTTTGCTCTGTTTTCCCAAATTGAAACTCATTTTTCTTACTATTCCCAGGGGCAACTCAAGTTGTTGATTTACAAAGAAAATAAAAACTTGGGTTTTGTGCTGTAAGCAACTTTTTTTTTTTTTTTTTTTTTATTTCATCAAAGTCCTGAGACGTAGGTCTGCTGAGAATTAGCCAGGTTTCTATTGGTGAAATAACTCGCTCATCCACATCCTCAAAGCCACCCACATGGCTGTCGCACAAGCCACATGGAATGTGTTTGCTCTGTTTTCCCAAATTGAAACTCATTTTTCTTACTATTCCCAGGGGCAACTCAAGTTGTTGATTTACAAAGAAAATAAAAACTTGGGTTTTGTGCTGTAAGCAACTTTTTTTTTTTTTTTTTTTTACTTGACTCCCCAGTTAACAATCCTTTGGCTTGCAGTTCAGGTAATGGTAAGATCAGAAGTTTGCTTTCACCATAAGATAGTTTTTGGAAGTTTCATTTCAGTAAAAATGAATATAAGGTAATTCTTTCATTTGACAAAGATATTTGGACATAGCTAATTATTCTATTGTGTGTAATCCAGCTTGCAATAGTACTTGGGGTTCTAGTGGAAGGACACAGAAGAGGATTTTATGTTTTATAATAATGAAGAATTTAAAAAATTTTATGATGCTTCATTTTGTCAAATTTTTTGTTTAATGGCCATCAAGCTCAATAGCTATATAAATTCCTACCCTTATTCTCTTCTTAAAAGTCATATACTTATACTAGTTATGAAGTGAGAGTAATAGCAATATCTTTTCTACATGCAGAAATTCCCTGATACACCCTGAGAGTAGGAAGATGACATTTGAGAAACAGTAATCTCAAGATTCTTAAGGACTACCCTCCATTTTATGGTGTTGTCTTGTCTTGGGACTCTCCAACCAGTTTTATTGGGTTATCTCAGAACTCCTTTTGACACATAACTGGTGTGCCATAAGTAGGGTATAAATATGTTGAGATACTGATCTCTGGGCTCTCTGAATATCTAGGCAGGGAGGACAAATCTGGGGGCCATTACCCAGAGCTCACTCCCTCTGAAGAATAGCCTGTCAACTTACCTGACTGGGGAGCCATACAAAATTATTTTCATTATGTGCAGAACTGTTCAAAAGGTTGGAAAGTATGTGGAAAATAAATTACTAGTAATTTGCCTCATAAATCTGTTTTAAGAAAATGAATACCTAAGGACCTTTAAAGAAAATAATGTAAATGAGGAGATAATCACAATAACTGTGATTATAGATAATAGTATCTGTGGCTAACATTTATGAAGTGTTTTATGTGTACTAAGAGCTAAATGTGTGCTCTGTCATGTAATCTCCCAACAGCTGTGCAAGATAAGTGCTATTTTTATCATTATTTTTTAGATGAACAAATTGTGCCCAGTTGAGTCATTTCCTTACCTAGGTCATGCAGCTAGAACATGGTGGAGTCTGGCTTGAACAAAGAGAGCCTTATTTGTTTGTTTGCTTGCTTATTATACTAGCAAATCTAGAATTTAATAGATCAAAGGTCTTCTTATGAATCAAATTACTTAATGCATGCATTCATATAGCAAATTAAACTGTTGGTCTACAAATGTATTAGATAAATAGAACAACATGAAACTCCAATCTGAAAGCTTCTACTTTTATGTTTTAGGGAGATAATCTAATTACTGAGTGTCGCTACAACACAAAAGATAGAGCCCGGATGACTTGGGTAAGAAGAATTTTATTATTATTAAAATTTATTTGTGGAGGAGGAGGCATAAACTTTGATTTTAGAAGAGAAATAAGTGAAAAGCACTCAAATTTGGAAGCAAAATTCCTGAATGTCTTGAACATGAATCATCATAAAAGTAAAATCAGAGCTGTTTTAGCATTTTATCAGATTAACTAATGATACTTTGGTAATATTTGCAGTATAATTTAGTGACCCTTTCATGAAAAGCTATCCTTAGTCTTTCCGTTTTTCCTCACCAAATATTATTATAAAGACCTGTGGTCACTAATGACCATGTGCGTGAGTCTGGACTTAGATGAATCGAGACTTCAAAAGGAAGAATAAATTCCATGACCTTAGCGCTTCTGACCCAAAGAGAAATCTGGTCCCAACAGATTTACTGGGGAGTTCTGCCAAACATTCAAGAAATAAATCACTCATGCCTTCCTCGGTCTCTTCCAGGGAGCACAAAAAAAGGGGGAACACCTTCTACCAACTCATTTTAGGAAGTTAGCATAAGCTTAATACTGAAACTTGATATGGGCAATATGAGAAAGGTCCACAACATGCACCAGAGGGAAGTAACTTTGACAAAGTATTGACAAACCAAATCCAGCATTATATAAAAATGTAACGTTAGGACTGATTTGGGCTTAACTAAGGACTGTAAAATTGGTTCAAATTAGAAAATACACTAATGCCATTACACATTAAGAGATCGAAGGAAAAAGGCTTATGATCACTTCAATAGGAGCAGAAAAAGCATTTGTCAGTCATGGGGGGAATAAAGGACATTTAGCAAACTAGGAATAGGAGAGAATTGCCTTAAACAGATAAACATTAGCTGTGAAAAATCTATAGCAAATATCAAACTAAGTGAAATACTAGAAGTAATTCTTTAAAGTCAGGAAGAAGACAAGGATGTTTATTATCACTGGTTTTATTCAATATCATAGTAGAAAAGAAAAAAATGAGATATAAAGATCAGAAAGGAAGAAGTGAAGAAAGAAAACACATTATTTACAGATATTTTAATTTTCCACATCAAAACCTCCCCCAAACTGATAAATCTAAAGTTAATTGTATTTTAGTGTACAATAAATTATCTCAAGAAAATTCAATTTAAGGCTATAAATCCTATAGAAATAAAATAACATTAGATATGTTTGATCTCTATGGAGAAAATTATTAGTCATTATGTAAGACATTAAAGATCACCTAAAGAAATTAAGAGATACTGTGTTCATGGATAGAAAAGCTCAGTGAAACAAAGATAATCTTTCTTTTTATTTTTTTTCTTTTTAAATTGGTTTATAAATTTGATATAATTCCAGTAAAGAAAGATCAGAGAGATTTTATGATTTGGGGTTTTGGTGTCTAACTAAGAAATCTTCACCTAGCCAAAGGTTTTCTCCTATTTTTTTAAAACAATTTTTCTAAAACTGTTACAGTTTTAGCTTTTACACGGAGCAAGTTGATTGTAAAATCTACATACAAGAGCAAAGGGTTAAAAATTGGCAAGACACTACTAAAAAGAACAAGATGGGAAACAAGCTACTAGATTTGATGACTTATTTTAAAGCTATGGTGATTAATAGTGTGGTTTGGGTGCATAGTTGGAAGAGTGGACCAGAATAGGGATCCTGGAAACAGACCTACAAACCCCCTATATGGAAACTTGGTTTAAGATAGAAATGGCATTCAGATAAGTGGCAAAGGATGGAGGTTTTCATTAAAGAATTACTGGCACAGTTGGGTATCCAGATGACAAAAATAAAATTACATCTTTATCTCCCACAATGCACAAAAAAATAATTTCTAGGTAGATTAAACATCAAAATGTGAAGAACAAAATATTAAAACCACTAGGTGAAATATATATAAATATAACTTTAGTACTTTGGGGTAAGAACTTATTAAACAGAACATAAAAAGTGCAAACTATAAATTAGAAGATTGATGAATTTGATTACCTTAACACTTTTGGTTACCCCCAAAACACTATTAAGTGAAAAGATAAGTTCTAAACTGAAAAAAAATTTGCAATACATAAAGCATTAGTATCCAGCATATAAAATAAATTCTATAGGGCTTCCCTGGTGGCGCAGTGGTTGAGAGTCCGCCTGCCGATGCAGGGGACACGGGTTCGTGCCCCGGTCTGGGAAGATCCCACATGCCACGGAGTGGCTGGGCCCGTGAGCCATGGCCGCTGAGCCTGCGCCTCCGGAGCCTGTGCTTCGCAACGGGAGAGGCCACAACAGTGAGAGGCCCGCGTACCGCAAAAAAAATAAATAAATAAAATAAAATAAATAAATTCTATAAATCCATAACATAAGACAAACATACAATAGAAAAAAAGCAGAAGTGTGTCCCTCACTGGACATTGCCATCGGTGTCAAGGAATGACCCACTTAAAGTTATACTCTCTTCAGTGGGGCAGCCAGCAGCCAATGACTGGTTGATGTGAGAATACAAAAGCCCAATTCCCTTCCTACAATTTGGTATAACTCTGAATAGCCAACCCAGCTCAAGAACAGATTAAATATATTTACTGAGGTGTCAGCTGCACCTCATTTGCAGATCAGCTTCTCCTTTTGCCCAGTCCTGCATCAAGTGCAAAGCATTCTGTTTTGCAGTTTGTAAAATCATTGCATATTAACCACTACATTAATGTATAACTATGAACAACACTACTATGTTTTTCACCTTCACTTTTGAAAGATAGATGATTTGCTGGATACAGAATTCTTGATTAATTTCTTTTTCCCTGGAGCACTTGAAAATGTGACTCCAATATCATTTTATTACTTCCATCATTTATGATGAAATGTCAGTTGTTCACTGTATTACTGTTCCCCTGTATGCAATGTATCATTTTTCTTTGCCGCTTTCAAGATTTTCTCTCTGTCTTTGGCTTTTAGCAATATGACTATGGTGTGTCTAGGTATGGCTGTCTTCATAATTATCTTTGGCATTTATTGAGCTTCTTGAGTCTGTAAGTTAATGTTTTTCACTAAATTTGGGAGGATTTCCACCATTGTTTTCAAATAATTTTTTCTATTCTCTTTTTCTCTTCCCTCTCATTCTGGAATTCAAATTACATACATGGAACATTTAATATTATCCTACAGATCTCTGAGATGTTTTCACTTTCTTTAGTCTTTTTTTCTCGTTCTTTGGGTTGGGAAATTGCTATTGATTTTGATCTTCAAGTTCACGGCTTCCTTCCTCTGCCATGTCAAGTTGCTCTCGAGCTCATCCTGTGAATTTTTAATTTAATTATAGTACCTTTCAACTTTTTCTCATGTTTTCCTTTGTCTGATGTCACTCCTTATTTGTTCACTCATTTTTCACATATTTACCTTTAATTATTTGAACATCTTTCTTTAGCTCTTTAAATATATTTATGTCTGTTTTTAAGTCTTTGCTGAGTCCAGCATCCATGTCCTCTCACAGTTTATTTCTACTAACTTTTTGTCCTGAATACAGATCATAGTTTCCTGTTTCTTTTCATGTTTAATAAACTTTTGGTTGAAAATTGGACATTGTTGTAGCAACTCCAGATGCCGTTCTTCTTTTTTAATTAGTACATAATTTACTACTTAGATTCAAACTGTGAACTGTGCCTCCCCTGTGGTACGCAGCTGCTGATGTTTATATACATGACAGCAAGATTATGGAAAACTCAGTGCAATCAGGCAAAGATTCCATCAAACTGACCGATTGGTATCTTGTTACTGAACATCCTCTGAAATGTTCACTGTGGTGAGAAGTTTACATCACATACACTGAACTCTGAGGAGATTATTAAGTTATTTAAGAAAGGCAGCTTTTAAAGAGATGGAAATAACTTTATTAGTTTTTAAATGTGCCACTGTCTTTTGAAAAACCAAATTGGCCTTTAAGTGATTATCTTTCAGCTTTAAGGTTTATGACATTTCAATATGGGAAGAAACTGCATAACATTTGCAGCTTGTGTTCTATAAGTATCAGAGTTGGTGGAACATAGACTTTTCTAAATAAAGTATCTCCATTTTCAGGGAGGATTAAGCACCAGGAATGAAATGTGTCTCTCATACCTTCTTTATTACCCACGAATTAACCTTACTCGATGTGCAAGTATCCCAGACATTATGGAACAACTTCAGTTCATTGGTGTTAAGGAGATCTACAGGCCAGTCACGTAAGTAGTAAACGGATTTCATGGTAGGGGTAAGGATGGGCTTTATTTTCATACTAGATTCATCACCATGTTATGGGATTCCTTAATGTGCTGTTCTATTTGATTATTTTCAATTGGGGAGTCCAAGGAACCTTCTTGCTTGTTATGTCCAGGGTCCTTGAGACTACTCTTAGGTTCAGTAGTTTTCTAGGAAGACCTAAAGGATTCAGCTTATAGTTGTACTCATGACTAATATTTATTACGGTGAAAGAATATAAAGAAAAATGAACAAAAGGAAAAGGCACATGAGGTAAAGTCCACAGGAAACCAGGTGCAAGCTTCCAAGAGACCTCTCCTAGTGGAGTCACACAGAGTGTGCTTAATTCCACCCACGTCAACTTATGACAACATATACGAAGTGTTGTCAACTGGAGAAGCTCATTAGAGACTCAGTGCTGAGAGTTTCTACTGGGGGCTGGTCACATAGGTGCCCTCTGCTTAGCAATACCAAAATTCCAGACTCCCAGAAGGAAAGCAAGGGTTCAACATAAACAGCATCATTCGTACAGGCGGTCTAGGTACAGTAAATTACTCTTATCATTTGGAGAAAGTTTTATGTCCTATAGGAAATTGTTTGCTATTTAAGTTCCCTGATGCCAGCCAAAGGTCAGCCTTCCAAGCAGGTGTTCCTAAGGATGGCAGTCTCAGGCCTTCTGTGTTAACTCTTTGTGCGCAATTGCATGTAATAGAAATGACTTAGGATAAAATTATAAACAAGAGAAATATTATCCCTGCTCCCTTGAGATTGTGTGCTAGAGTGGGGAGGAGGTAATAAGCAAATAAACAACATAATATAAAATTTCAGTTATTAAAAGATGTTATGAAAATAATCAAGACAGTGAAGGAAGTGTATAGTTGTTCTCAGTAGGGTGGTGAGAGCTTCTCTTGGGAGGTGTCTTAGTCCATTTGGACTCTTATTACTGCCATAGACAGGGTAGCTTATAAACAACAGAAAATGTATCTGTCACTGTTCCAGAGGCTGAGAAGTCCAAGATCAAGATTCTGGCAGATTCAGCATCTGGTGAGGACCCACTTCCTCACAGACAGCCATCTTCTCACAGTGACCTCATGTGGCAGAGGGTCAAGGGAGCTTTCTCAAGCTGCTTCTATAAGGGCACTAATCCCGTTTATGAGGACAGAGCCTCCCAAAGGCCCCACCTCCTAATAATGTCACCCTGGACATTAAGATTTCAACATGTGAATTTCGGAGGGTGGCGGAACACAGATATTCAGACCGTAGCAGGAGGTGATGTTTGAGCAGAGACCTCAGTGATCAGGAGCCAGTCAAAAAAAGATATGCAAGTATACTCTTCAGGGAGAAAAGCCAGTATAATGGATGGTGGGTATAAGGTTAGCATGTTCAAAGAACAACAAGAAGGTGAGTTTGGCTGAAGCAGAGTGAAATTTGGCAGAGAGTAGGTGACGAGGTCTAAAAGCAAGTGGGACCATATAGTGTAGAACTTTTCAGGCAACATAAGGACTTTGGGTTTTAAGTGTGAAAAGGAGCTATTATAGGGTATAGGGTATTAAGAATGTTAATTTAGCTACTGCATTGAGAAAGGACTCTAGGAGGGCAAGATTGGAAAGAATAATATCTATCTGGAGACTTGTGATTGTCCAGTTGAGAGGTGAGGGTGCCTTGGACCAGGATGGTGCCAATAGTGTTTATGAGAAATGGTTCCAATCAGGTTAGCTTTTGAAGGTAGCACTCTCTGGACTTGTTGATTGACTGCATCTCTGGGAGATGATGAGGGAAAGA